CTGTCAGGGACATGGCTTCACTCGATCAGCGACGCGGGAAGACCCCGACGCAGACACCCAGCTGCAATGGATGGTGCTACAGCAAAGGTGGGTTTATTGCCATCTGATAGCTATCCCACATGCAACCGAAAACCCCCAGAGCCACGCTTCTTTCATACTCGTCACAACATCCGATTCATATAAGAAAAGGAAGTCTACACGATCATAACCACAAACACTCTCACTCGTTCTCAGTCATTTCGTTCCACCCTTTCACCCTCTTTCATCCTCTCCCTGGGCGTCCCCCACTCCAGCTCACCAATCAACCCAAAACCTCGAGACCTCCCCACTTTCCCAACGGGTAGGCGTTACACTTTAAAAGCACCACGCCTTTTTATTAATTTGAGATTGCTCGCTGCTCCGATTTCAGCGACACTAAGCTATTCATCGATTAAATAAATGACCGGCTGAGGGCGCTTTGCGCAAAAATAAAACAATACAACAACAACGATAAATTCCCCTTTCTCATTTCAATTACCCCGACAGCGATGTCTGCCCTTTCCTTGATTGTGATTGTCTGCAAGCCGTTATAAAAGACTCGTCCCAACCATTTACGCGAGACGAAAGCTTACCATCGTCAGTGCCATGACACTTCCTATGCAGTCGGACAGGCGAGATGAACCTTTTCTGCGGGCAGACAGGAGAGGGCGTTGTTTCGAGTTCATGGGGGGAGAGATCTTGGCCCGCCGCACTGGGGTGGGGATGGGAGTTGGGTGGGGTTGAGGTAAGGCGGTTTTTGTTTGGTTGGGGTTTGAAGAAATGAGAGGTGGTTTGGATTCCGTGATGGGTTTTTTTTGTTTTTTTTTTGATTGTGGTGGTGTTTAGATGTTTAAACATACATGTATAAAACAGCAAATTGAACGGACTAATAAAATAGAATCATATATGTGTAAAATTTGGAAAAAAAGAAAAGCGAGAATGGTTTAAGGGTAAAATCAACGCTTCCCATGCGTTGGCTCCGGGTTCGAGTCCCGGTTCTCGCATTCGTTGCATTGGTGGTTTAGTGGTAAAATTAACCGTTGCCATCGGTTAGCCCCGGGTTCGATTCCCGGCCAATGCATATTTTTTTCTTTTTTTTTTTGAAGTTGAACACTGCTACGGAAGTCTGCGCAATAGTGGTGCTGTTATTTTCTCTTTTGACCAGCACTGGGAATATTAGGAGGAATGTCATGGCAGCAGCATCGCTGTGGTGTGAAGCAGGAAGAGTGATGGCGTGTGAAATGGCAGGCGAGAGGCTTCCGCATTCAGCCGAGGCCCCAAAGAAAGTTGCAGTTATCCAGGGGCTTGGGACTGGGTGCCGTTACTGCCAGCATGCCTGCCACTGGCACATCCCCAGAAGGGCAGGTGGCAGGGACATTGGGGTGGGACAGACAGGATAGTGGGTGGGACAGACAGTTGGAGCCATTGCATCGGCTCCGCTGTTCGTTGCCTGTGAGAGACGCCGTCAACTCAACTGCTGGCCATCGGATCCGATCCCCTCCCTGCCGTCTGCCTATCCTCCCGACCTCATCCAAGTATAAAGACGGCCTGCGTGGGAGAGCCTCAGCACCACCACCACGACCACCACCACCAACCACCACCACCCACCAACCCTTCCATGCTCGAGACTGCCGGAAAGAAGGGCACCGACGGCTTCCTCACGGCTGCGGCAGCCGGAGACGTTGAGCTGAAGGCTGTGGGTCACCATCACGTCGATCCCATCGGCTCTTCCCCTGATGCCGTCGGTAGGCCGTCTGTGACTGCTGCTGCCGTGGGGAGGGTTGTGGTGCCCGTTGAGATCACTGTCAACCATCTCTCTGTGACTGCCACCACCAGGTCATCCTCATCTCTTCTGTCTGGGAAGATTTCTACGTCCATCCCGCTTGTGCAGGATGTGACGATGCATGTTCCGTCGGGGCATCTTATGGCCATCATGGTTTGTTTCTTCTTGTTTTTTTTTCGGGAGACGGTTGTGTGTCGTTGCGTGTTCCTCGTCGCCTGCGAGGCGGCTCGAGGGAGGGTCGGCGATGAAGAGTTGACCAGCGCCTGGATCACTTTTTTTTTCTTGTGTTTCTCATGGCTCCA